TTTTTTTTCAGTCGCTGATCTATATTCCGCGTCATTATGCCATTGTTTTCCGAAGCTTGATCGTCAGGATTCAATAGACCAAGGACATCGTATAGACTCACATTGCACTTACACACAGTCACTAGACTTTAGTGGTAATTTCTCGATAACAGTGTCCTTGTAGATGAAAATCATCCACACCGTTCTCACGATGTCATTCATCTGTCAGCATTCACACAGACCACTGAGATTGTGGGAAACACACCGGGTAGGTGCGTTTCCGGCAGATTCTAAAAGAATCTTCAAGTAACAAGTATAATGACAAAAACAAAATACGAAGTAATGTTCGCTTTCCGAAGGTGCATTTTTTTGTCTTGGTGCACAGTTGTGCATAGTTTGTATATTTAGTACACGCTAAGTTAGCATCATACCGAGCTCAATATGACAGGTAAGCAGCCATTGACAAATCTGTGGAAGATCAGCCAGTACGTCGTGTCGCTACTCTGGTGTCCGCCAGGAGGCGATTTTGAATGGTCCTAGGGAGTCAACTGATGTGAAGTGCGTCTTATGCCCAGAGGTAGTCGAAATTAGCACTGCATATCTATTGTTTCCTTTCTCCGTTCATTCTTTGGTTTCTCTTCATTCTTTCTCTCCTCCTTTCTCTCTTTTCACAGACTGGGAGGTCTGTGTGGGTAGTGAATGTACGTATTCACAAGGACGCGTAGCGGTTGTCGATAGAATTACACCCGGCCGGCTGCAGGTCCCAGTCGCGTTTAGCAAGTTCAATCGTATGCTACAGAGAAAAGCAGAGATATCGAAATGACGGCAATAAAAGATACGTTAAAATATGTTATTATCAGGAGCCCCAGACTGTAACTTAATCCGTTAATGGCATAGAACTACCTGGAAGAAATTGACCATCTTTGAACGTCGAAGAACCACAGACGAACATTTGTGTATTTGTTAACTCCAGTTGATTGTTTTCAAGTCCCATATCAAACCATCTCGTGAACCTGACACCCCCGTTATGCATGTTCGAATCATCCACGATGCCCACCGTTTGTGACGTCTCTCTGTCTCTAAGCGCTGTCTAGAACAACAACGTTCCACTGACCACATTTCCCTGAGAAACGTCGTCACAGACAGACGCCATGTGGGAAACTATTATGAATATTCTGAGCTGTTGCTCTCTTATCAAAACCAATAAAGTCACACCAGCTGGAAAAGGAGTAGATGATGGACCGAAGGAGTCATCTGAGCCACAGGACATGTCTATGGACAGGGGGAATGACGGTAAGTGACGCGGACGTCTTTTGGCAGTTTTGCTACCGGATTCTGATACACGTAGTAACCCTTGAATTCTTCGCCGCCTCTCAAAGCGCTCACCGCGTTACCGGAAGGTAACAAACAGCAGGACACTTCATGAGTGTAATACTGCCATGTTTTTATGAAAGAGAAACAAAATAGCTTTTGCCATTCATGTCTTTTTAACTCAATCGGCATAACCAAGTCTGTTGATTCCACTCTTCTCTTGACTTTGCTGCTTCATGGCCGACTGTGCATGCCGTTAAGTTTCCGTTTATTCCAGAAGTATTCCTCGCGCAAGTAGTGCAGGCTCCGCTGTCCCAAGCCAGGTCTACCAAGTCGTCGGACGACGTACTAGCCGACCTGCGACAGGCGGGAGTGATTCCGATTAAATGCCAGCCGACATCCGTGGCCTTTGAGGTGGCGGACCCGAAGACCGCCTCGGCGTTCGAGACGAACAGCGCGCCCCCGCGCCGCCCAGTCAGGCTGGAGAAGTTGGATCGCAAAATGGAGGAGAGGCGGGAGATGGTGAAGAAGAGAATCGCCGAAACCCCAAACGAACTGCGGACGCAGTTGAATGAGGCAGACGAGCGCAGACGGGTAAGTTTACCTTGGAGTACTAGTATGTGTTGTAAAAATAACGTAAATAGAAGAATGTGAATGGGTGGAAAGTTAGATGGAAGGATTGACAGACCAATGCAAGAACAAAAGGAAAGGAAAGTTTGAGACAAGTACTCATCATTAATATTCACCTAGGACATTCTGGCCAAGAGATCCCGGAAATTGGCTAACCAGGCCGCTAGGAAGGCGACAAAGAAGCCGTGTGAAGCAAAGTCAACCGCTTTCTTCATCAAGCCGACAATGAGCGAGACGGACGCCGTCATCGCTACATGCGAGAGTAAGAAGCGGAGGCGCATGGAGGCCCGCATGGAGAAGCGTCGGGCACGTGTGGCAAAGAAGGCCACAGTGGAGGCGCTGGAGGCACGTCAGGCTGATGCCGCGGAGAGACGCCAGGTACATACTAGAATTATTTTCTGCCTGTGAAAAACATAACCCCTACGCCCTATCGTCCTTGGGTGTTATAGACAAACACAGAACTGTCATCACTAGTGTTTATCCCCAAAATACCAAAATAATACACAGGATAAAAGCGTAAAGAGATGTTTATAATTT